TCTGGAAGAACAGCCAGTGCTCTTAACTGCTGAGCCATCTCTCCAGCCCCCCCGCCGGGGGGGGGGCGTTGTCTGTGTTCTTTAGAAGGGTGTCCTAAGTCTGGACAAGGCCTGGATAAGGAACCGTTTGGGCACTGTAGGGTGAGCAAACGCTTACCCGGTTCATCTCCGCTGTCCTGGAGCCGGTGGTGTGCGAAGGACCTGTGTCTGGAGGCTCGGCGGTAGAGACACCACAGCAGGAGGAATATGCCAATTAGCATCCCTGTCCCGGCGAAGAACAGGCACAGGGACCCACTGATGGAGCCTCGCGGGCGGCTGACCAGAGTTACCCCTGAGAGATGACACAGCCATTTAAACAGAGGGCTTCCTCCCTCAGACCCAGCCCTCCTCCCTCAGACCCAGCCCTCCTCCCTCAGACCCAGCCCTCCTCCCTCAGACCCAAGCCCTCCCCACTCAGACTCAGGGGTCCAGGTCCCACCCTCCTCCCTCAGACCCAGGGGTCCAGGCCCAGCCCTCCTCCCTCAGACCCAGGGTCCAGGCCCAGCCCTCCTCCCTCAGACCAGGGGTCCAGGATCCCAGCCCTCCTCCCTCAGACCCAGGGTCCAGGCCCAGCCTCCTCCCTCAGACCCAGGGTCCAGGCCCAGCCCTCCTCCCTCAGACCCAGGGTCCAGACCCCAGCCCTCCTCCCTCAGACCCAGGGGTCCAGGCCCAGCCCTCCTCCCTCAGACCTAGGGGTCCAGACCCAGCCTCCTCCCTCAGACCCAGGGTCCAGGCCCAGCCTCCTTCCTCAGACCCAGGAGTCCAGATCCCACCCTCCTCCCTCAGACCCAGGGTCCAGGCCCAGCCCTCCTCCCTCAGACCCAGGGATCCAGACCCCAGCCCTCCTCCCTCAGACCCAGGATCCAGGCCCAGCCCTCCTCCCTCAGACCCAGGGTCCAGGCCCAGCCTCCTCCCTCAGACCCAGGGTCCAGGCCCAGCCTCCTCCCTCAGACCCAGGGTCCAGGCCCAGCCCTCCTCCCTCAGACCCAGGGTCCAGGTCCAGCCTCCTCCCTCAGACCCAGGGTCCAGGCCCGGCCTCCTCCCACAGACCCAGGGTCCAGACTCAGCCCTCCTCCCTCAGACCCAGGGTCCAGGCCCCCGCCCTCCTCCCTCAGACCCAGGGTCCAGGCCCAGCCCTCTGCTTGGAGACCCATGGCCAGGCCCCTCACCGGTCTCCTTCACCCGCTCCACCACGATGATTGTATTGACCGTCTCTCCTCGGCTGTGTTTCTGAGGGGCCTGGGGCATCCCAGGGGCTACCTGATTGGGGTGTTCTGGAGGAGCAGGGGGGCCTGCAATCCGTGCTGAGGGAGGAGGGATGTCTGGTCCTTTAGGGCCTGAGTTCTGGGGTATATTCAGCTCTTTGGTCCCTAGGGGATCCGACGTGGGCAGGCCAGGAGTGGCAATTTGGGTGGCTGCAGGGGATTCTGGGCTGGGACTCAAGCCCGGCTCACTGGATGTGGTGGCTTCCTCCCTGAAGGCTGCTGTTGGGTGGGTGGGAAGACCAGTGGTGGTTTCTAAGTCAGAGGTCACAGCCATCTCTGTTGCATTTTGGTTGGTGGTTGTGGGGAACTGTGTCTGGGGGATGTCAGTGGGATTGGAGTGGGTGATGAAAAATGCTGACTGTGGAGTTTCTGTGGGGTCAGCATGGGTGGTTGGTAGTGATGCGGAATTTAGGGTTCTGTTAGTACCAGGGTCATAGGTCTCTCGGGATGTGGAGCTGAGGAGTTGGGTGGGGCCAGGACTTGGTATCTTAGGCCCTTCACCAGGAGAGATTTGGGGAGTACCTCCTTTGGGGACTTCAGGGGAGTCTTGGTGTGTAGTTGGTGTAGGGTCAGTGTGTTCAGCTTTGGGTGATTCTGAGGATGAAGTTTTGAAGGGATTAGGTTTTTGGGTTTTAGGAGATCCAGACTGGGAAACTGCAGTCAGGTCAGGTTTGGGGATCTCAGAAGATTCTGGCAGTGTTGCTTTGGAGGGGCTCGTTTGTAAAGCATCCTGGGATTCCGTGACTGAGCTTGTGAGCTGGGCAGGCACGGGAGTCTCTGGAGAACCTGAGAGGCTGGGTCTGGGGGGTGGTGTCTTGGAGGGCTCAGGAGGAGCCGCTGCGGGGTATCCTGGGGTAGGCTTGTCTCTAGTAGAATTTTCTAGAGCAACAGGCATCCTAGGGGGCTGGATTATCCCTTGGGGGTCGGAGCCCACAGGCAGAGAGGTTGAGGGAGCTGCCTTGGAACCCAGACCATCGAGGAGGAAGAGGAGGGAGAGGAAGAAGATGGAGCTGAAGAGCTGCATGGCTCAGAGATGCCTGTAGCTGTGGAAGGAGTAGGGAGGGAAAGGTTAACACCAAAGCATCCTGGAGCCAAACACACTCCCAGAGGCCACATCCACTGGCTCCCCGAAGGACCAGGTCTGCCCAGGGACTCTGGCAAAACCCAATTGCAAGTCTCTGGCGGCCGTGAGGTGGTAACTGTGGTCGCTAAGGTTACAGGAGTTCAGGGATTCTCGGGAGTGGGAGTGCATTTACCAGTGGGGTCCTTGAAAATTGGGACACAATGACACCTTTCCAAGGTCCGACAAATGTTAGATTCCACCTTCAGAGGGTATCAGGTGGCCAAGGGGACACGGGACAACCTCATTCTCCTCCCAGGGCTCTTAAGACGCCAGTACTGCACAGACATTAACACTAGAGGTTGAGAATGAAGAGCTGGGGCCCAAGCCGAGTCAGAGGGAGGGGGAAGACTCCATGGTCCTAAGAAGGTAGCTATTGGGCTTTGAGGCCCACGGAGTGAAGGGCTGAGGGTCCATGTCTTTGGTTCTTTCCAGAAATTAGGGGCTTAGAAACTTTGAATATTGGGACCTAGAAGTGGGGCTTAAGGGTTACAGGGGAAAGGACATGGGATCCTCAGACCATGGGTTAAGTGATGTCTGGATCTGAGTTCCAGGTCTTCGAGAGTAGGGATGTGAGGTGTAGACTCCACTCTGACAGTGAGCTCTATGCCCTGTCTATCGACGATAGATCCAGTAACTTCTGTAGTGGGTTGGAGATGGAGGAGTGAGCTTGGGTAGGACAGGGTCACTTGGGTCATGGGGTCTCTTACCTGTTCAGTGGTGTCCAAAACAGCAGATGACCAGCGCTGGACAAAGAGACAGGCAGGGAGTGCTGCTGAATGGCGCTGGAAGAGGCAGGTGCTAGGGTCCCGGAGGCACACAGGTGATGCACCTGACCCCCTCCCCGAGGAATCCTGGGAGCCTAGCAACAAGCTGAGGTTCTTAAAGAAACAAAGACATAGGACCTCATAGCTAGGGCAAAGGAGGAAGTTAGGATTTAACCAGGCTATTTTCCCTTTGAAGCCAAGGTTTGGCCAGGTATGATGGTACAGGCCTGTGATTCCTGTTCTTGGAAGGCTGAGGCCATCTTGGGGGACAGTGAGACCCAGGCCAGTCTGGGCTGCCTAGCAGGACTGTGTCTCAAAAGCCAGGAGTGGTGGTCCTTGCCTTCGATGCCAGCATCTGCGAGGCTGAGGTAGGAAAACTGCCACAAATTTGAGGCCATCCTGGGCTACAGAATCAGTTCCAGGCCAGCCTGGGCTACAATGTGAAGCCTTGACTCTAAAACAAAAATAAAAACCAACCAAACATACGCAAAAACAACCCTCCAAAAACTAAACCCAACAGACACAAAACAAACTCTCCATATATAAAAGCCCTGGGCCCAGCTGCCTGGTGGTTGCCAACACCTTTAATCCCAGCAGTTGAGAGACAGAAGCAGGCAGATCTCTGTGAGTTCCAGGACAGTCTGGTCTACAGAGTGAGTTCCAGGACAGCCAGGGCTACACAAAGAAACGCTGCCTCAAAAACAAACAAGCCCTAGGCCCTCTCCCATTCCCCCAACCAAACCCACGGATCTAAGTCCCCGGCCCCTTTCTACCTTAACCCCACGATGCCACTCTGTTCCCTTCAGACCAGAGAACCCAGGCTTCCAGGTGGACCCTTGCCAGAACCCAGGAGTCTGGGGCTCTGTCTTGACTACCTTTAGCTTTGGGATTCCAAGCTTGGGCCCCTCCTTTCTGCAGAGATAGGAGTCCAGGCTCCTGTCCACCTCCTTTGCCCATAATATGGGAGGAGGGCGTCCCTCTTTATTTGCCCCCTACTTTGATAAGAGTCTTATGTAGCATACACACATCTCAGATTTGCAGTGATCCTCCTGCTTCTGCCTCCTGAGTCTGGCAAGACAGGCGAACTGCACTATGGGGGTGGCCTTGGGAACCCCCTTTAAATATGCCAGGTATGGAGGATTGGGCCTTATCTCCACCATGTCCCAGTGCCCCTGGGGGACCCGGGAAGACGCATCCCTGTGGAAGCCCAGGGCCTCTGTGTCCCCACATCATGACTTCACCTGTTTGCACACTGCCACCTCCTCTCCCTCCCTGGCTGTCTGCTGAGCCTGCCTGTCCTTCCCACACCTTCTCAGCCTTCCCCTCCATCTCCAGAGCCCTCAGGCCTTCCTCTCCTCCTGTTATGTCCTTCCTAGGGCACCCAGTCTCTGTCCTGTCTGCAGGTTATTCCTTCCCTCTCTCCTCTTGGATTCCTCTGCTCTCTCTCTTCTCTGCCTCTGTGTCCCTGACTTGTGCTCTAATGGTCCCCCTCTGCAGTCTCTATTTTTATCCCTCTGACACACCCCTTATGTCCACCTCTCTGTCTGTCCCCTCCACTCCCCTTCTTCAGTACCAGCTCTGGGTCCCAATTAGTTGGTGGCGGCCACAGCAGCGGAGGCCCCCAACAGGCTTCTCATTACCGCTGGCGGCTCCTAATGAGCGTGGAGTGGAGTGACCCCGTGCCCCCAGTCCGGCCTGCGTCACTGCCAAGGCGAGGGTTGTGCGGGTATATAAGAGGGGGTGTGAGCATCGCTTCCTGAGTCCACTGCACGGTAGGGGGCCCGGCGGGAGGCTGGTGGCGGGGGTTGGATGGTGGGCTCCCAGATTCTGGGCGGGATGGTGACATCGAGATCCTGTCCCCCGTGTTCACAGGTGATGGAGACCTGCCAGGTGTCCAGGAGCCCCCGAGAGCGGCTGCTGCTGCTTTTGCTGCTGCTACTGCTTGTGCCCTGGGGCACCGGCCCTGCTTCAGGTGTTGCCCTGCCCCTCGCTGGTGTGTTCAGGTAGGTGTGAGGTCCCTGACACCCAGGAGTGGGAGGAGACACCCCAAGGGAAGGCGAGATAACACGCGGGGGTGAGTGGGGGAGGGGAGGGCTTGACGTTAGAACACAGTGGGGACCGGCGGCACGTGGGGCCTGGCGCTCAGCCACTGCATCTCTCTTCTCGCAGCCTCCGCGCCCCCGGCCGGGCCTGGGCTGACTTGGGTACTCCCCTGTCTCGACGCAGCCTGGCGCTAGCGGACGACGCAGCCTTTCGGGAGCGCGCGCGCCTGCTAGCCGCCCTGGAGCGCCGCCGCTGGCTAGACTCGTATATGCAGAAGCTGTTGCTACTGGACGCGCCCTGAGCCCAATAAAGAGCCTGTTCCACAACGCCCGCGCCTCCTCGCTGAGCCGCCCTCGCATGCGTGTGTGGGGAGGGGCCCCAGAGTGGGCGCGCCGTCTCACTGCAACGTGGCCCTCCTCGTCCTCGCTGGCCCCCGCAGCCTCCAGGGTCTGACCGAGTCTCTGTCCTCTCCGAATTCCCTCGCCACTCCACTCTCCTTTTGTCACAGTCGCAGGCCCCTGATCCGGCTGGGTGATGGGTCGGGGTTTTCGGTTTTTTTCCCTCAAGACAGGGTTTGTGTATCTCTGGCTGTCCTGGAACTCACTCCGTAGCCCAGGCTGCCCTCGAATCCAGAGATCCACCAGCCTCTGCCTCCCGAGTGCTGGGATGAAAGGCGACTGCCACCACCACTCGGCTGGGTCAGGTTCCGCTCCCCACCTCCACCCCGGGCTTTTCAAGACGCGGTTTCTCTGTGTAAGTCCTGGTTGTTCAGGAACTCATTTTGTAGACCAGGCTAGGCTCGAACTCACAGAGACCTGTCTGCGTCTATAAGGCGTGCACCACCAGGCCAGGCGGGGGGTCGGAGTGTCTTAAGCTCTCTGGGCCTTTTGTTTATCCGCCCCTGGAGGTCTCCAAGAGTTCGGAGGAGTTCGCGCGGTCCTGGGTGCAGGAGCCGGTCACCAAAGCCGGCAGCCCCCGGAGGCCCCGCCCCCAGCGACATTTGTCGACTCTGCGAGCCCGCGGGGCGAGCGGACCGCGACCTGATTGGCCTACAGAGGGTCGACGAGGCCGCCCTCCTGAATTTGCATTTCCTGGAGGCGGACCGAGTCCTCATTGGCCTCTACGCTGTGAAGGCGGAGCCGCCGCTTGCGGCTGTGAAGCCAGGCTACGGTCCGAAACAGTGAGTAGGCGGCGCCCGCAGCAATTCCAGGCTTCCAGGAGGCGACGCCTCACCCCGGAAACCGGACGGCTCTCTGCAGCGGACCACACCTGGCTGCTTCGTTTCTCCAAACTCCCTCCTCCGCCCTTCCCTGACCCCCTCATACAACCCTCCTCCCGGCTCCCTCCACCTTCGGGCCAGTTCAGGTCTGTTCTCCCGCGTGGATTGGCTCAGACCTCCCGGCTCCACCCGCCGCTCCACTGGCGGCGGCGGCGGGTCTTGTTCCCGGGTGGCTGGGCCTGCCCTTCTCAGCCCTCTCCTGGGCACTGGGGACAGCTTCTGGGCTGGGGCCCGAGCCCCACCGAGCTTTTCCACTCGCAGAGCCCGCTCTGGCTGCCAGGCTGCTTTCCCTGAATCACCAGCCTTGGGTCTCCTTCCCACGGCTGGGCTGTCCAGCTGACCTTAAACCCCTCCCCTGCCGCCTGTATGCCACCTGCGCCGCCTCTCAAAACTGAACGCGTGGGGTGGGGGGTGTTCTCAGACTGCACCCCACTTGGCCCTGTCTTTGCAAATCATGGAGCCAGTGCTGATGAGGGAAAACTGAGGGAAGCCGAGGGTGCCGCTAGCGTTCCTGGAAGCACGATCCTGGCGTGGAGCGCTTACGGTTGAGAGGCCCCTTCACAGCACTCGGGCAGCTCGAGGGATCAGAGGTCTGCAAGCCCGCGCTCTTGTGTGGCCCCATGTTTTGTGGAGCTGCCAATGAGGATCTGTCAGAGAAGCCTCTGGCTTGCCTGCTCAGAAACACTGACCGACCAGGCGGTGCACTGGCAGTGCAGAGGGGCCCACCCTAGTCTACTGCCTCCCCTGCAGCGAAGAGTCTATCACACAGAGACAATTCAGGGACAGCCCGCTCCCCCCAGCCCTGTACTGTGCTGCACTAGTGCAGCCTCCGAAACAGCAGAGGATGGAGAAAGCCTAGGGACCTTTGGTCCCACTGTGACTCAGCCGAGGTCCAGTTGCCCTCCTCCCTGGAACTTGTTTGGTGAGGAAATCATCCTGTGCTGAAGTCATTACCGCATGATTTGCTATTGTTAAGAAAACAGGAGAAAGCCAGGAGAGGTCATGGTCACATAAAAACAACTTAAGGATGTGGGCCCAGTGTTGAGTCAGTGGCAGGTGAGGCACAGCGGTGGCATGGAGGACGGTGTCTGCTGGGAAGGGTGCTCACACTGGCGGGGGCTGTAGGTAGTAGAGCTGCAGCTGTGGTAACGAGGGCGTCGGGGACTGGCTGAGCAGCAGGACGGACAGCAGCAGCAGCAGCAGCAGGCCCCAGATGGGTGTGGGGACCAGTGGGTGCTGGCTGACTCTGGAGGGGAGGCAGGAGAGACTGAAGGTGGCCCCAGGGAGATTGGTCTCACCAACATGTGGCACCCCCACCCACTTCTGGAGACCCCTGAAGGGCACACCTGAGCCCTGGGGAGTGCTGGGGGCGCAGGCAGTGCTGGGCCCAGGCCCTCTCGACTGGCACCAGCTCTCCCACCACTGGCATGAGGGCTCGTTGAACCTCTGGCACATCTTGACAACTGGAAGGCAGATGGGAAGGGCATTATTGCTAGGCCTGGTCTGTCCTATATCTCTTTCCAGTTCCCATCTGTCCCTTTACCTCTCAGGAGAGCTTTCTGGGGCAAGCTCATGGTGAGGGGTTCCCAGAGGGATGGAAGGGTCAACCTGGGAGGAGAAAGGACACAACACACCCACTCACTCAATCTGCAGCACCCTGGATGCAGACTACACACTCGAGGCCGCATGTCCCTCCACAGGGCTGACTGAGCTGGCTGACTGGGAAAGAAGGCAGAGCCAGACCAGTGCCCACGCAGTAGTCAGTAAGGGCGAGAGTTTTAGCACTGCTCCTTCCCACCTCCCGAGTCTCTCCGTTTATAGCCCCAAGGGCAGTGGTTTACAGGTGCCTGTTCCTGTGCTGGGCACATATACCAGCCAATCCCTGAAGGCTCTGGCAGCCTGTTGCCACTCCTTCTGTCTCTCTGGGACCTCTGTGCCAGTCAGGGCTTCACATGCCCACATCTGCTCCAAATACAATGGGCATGACAATGACAAACCGACCAGCATGTCACTCCCAACTGCTCGGTCCTGCACCCACATTGCCTGGCCCTGATCTGAGAGCAGAGGAAAGGAGCTGGACTTCCTCAGTGAAGGGGCTGGAGTGTGACAAGGCAGGCGAGGGCTCCAGAGCCTGGTCTGCACTCCTCAGCAGACCCTGGACCCTTCTTCCAAGTTCCTTTACCTTCCCTTGAGAAGAGCTGGGCTGAGACCTCCACTTGGTCCTGCCACAGAGAAGAGTGGAGGAGTCCAGGCCCAATAGTTTGGCCAGGTCATTGAGGCCGCTAGATCTTTGGTGAGTGGGAGTGTGTGGGAGTCTGTGATACAGTTGGAGGTGTAGCCATATCTGTGAGGCTCCAGGCTCAGAATGTGAGGACTGCAGCCTGTATATATGTGGCTGGGCTCTCTGGGGAACATCCTGGCTGCCAATTGTCTCCAGCCTCCCCCTTTCCACTCCCACCCCCGCCTCTCATTAGCTGCACGGAGGGCCTTGTTATCTCCTGGCCAAATGATTTTTCTGACTGTTCTTGAGGAGTTCAAGCTGGAGGGAAGGGGCTGCATTAGTTCCTCAGCTTTAGGGACTGGAAGGGTGCTAGGTATTGCCTACCACGACCAAGCTCTCCTCTTCTTCCTCTTCGTCCTGTCTTCTGGACAACCTAGAGCACACAAAGTCACTGGATACCCCACCTCCCACTTCTCGACGCCACCAGAAGCTGCAGATACAGTGGACCTCAGGGTCTGATGGCTCCTGTGCATGCTTTTCAGAGATTTAAAAAATTCCAATCTTAGAGTTTGTGACCCCCCCCCATCTCAGAAGCCCTTGACCTAGGCCTTCCTAGTTGTCTTAGAGTTTGTGACCCCCCCAATCTCAGAAGCCCTTGACCTAGGCCTTCCTAGTTGTCTTAGAGTTTGTGACCCCCCCAATCTCAGAAGCCCTTGACCTAGGCCTTCCTAGTTGTCTTAGAGTTTGTGACCCCCCCCATCTCAGAAGCCCTTGACCTAGGCCTTCCTAGTTGTCTTAGAGTTTGTGACCCCCCCAATCTCAGAAGCCCTTGACCTAGGCCTTCCTAGTTGTCTTAGAGTTTGTGACCCCCCCCAATCTCAGAAGCCCTTGACCTAGGCCTTCCTAGTTGTCTTAGAGTTTGTGACCCCCCCCAATCTCAGAAGCCCTTGACCTAGGCCTTCCTAGTTGTCTTAGAGTTTGTGACCCCCCCCAATCTCAGAAGCCCTTGACCTAGGCCTTCCTAGTTGTCTTAGAGTTTGTGACCCCCCCCAATCTCAGAAGCCCTTGACCTAGGCCTTCCTAGTTGTCTTAGAGTTTGTGACCCCCCCCAATCTCAGAAGCCCTTGACCTAGGCCTTCCTAGTTGTCTTAGAGTTTGTGACCCCCCCCCAATCTCAGAAGCCCTTGACCTAGGCCTTCCTAGTTGTCTTAGAGTTTGTGACCCCCCCAATCTCAGAAGCCCTTGACCTAGGCCTTCCTAGTTGTCTTAGAGTTTGTGACCCCCCCATCTCAGAAGCCCTTGACCTAGGCCTTCCTAGTTGTCTTAGAGTTTGTGACCCCCCCCAATCTCAGAAGCCCTTGACCTAGGCCTTCCTAGTTGTCTTAGAGTTTGTGACCCCCCCCATCTCAGAAGCCCTTGACCTAGGCCTTCCTAGTTGTCTTAGAGTTTGTGACCCCCCCAATCTCAGAAGCCCTTGACCTAGGCCTTCCTAGTTGTCTTAGAGTTTGTGACCCCCCCAATCTCAGAAGCCCTTGACCTAGGCCTTCCTAGTTGTCTTAGAGTTTGTGACCCCCCCAATCTCAGAAGCCCTTGACCTAGGCCTTCCTAGTTGTCTTAGAGTTTGTGACCCCCCCATCTCAGAAGCCCTTGACCTAGGCCTTCCTAGTTGTCCCTTTCCAGCTGATTCCCAGGTGGAAACAAGGCTCCCTGCTTTACCCCCATACCAGAGACCCCAGGGCATGTGAACTCTGGGCACCCCTGTTGGGGGTACTATGACATTTTCTTAGCCTTGGTCTTTCAGGTCTTGTTAGGGACTGGGAATACACCTCCCCTCTCTCAGCCCTGGAGCCTCACTATCGGGCTCTCTCATGTCCAAACAACTTCTCTAGGTGTGCTAGCCCCTGCTTCCCCAAGCCTGTTTCAGGGACACAGCGTTGGAGGCCCTGGTATCAAGCTCCAGAGGCTGATGGCTCCACAGGGACCCAGGTGTCCCTGCCCCCAGCCTATGTATGCCTGAGGATCAGGGATCTAGCCCTGCAGCTGCCATCCTGCAGCTGCCATCGAGCCAGCAGCTGCAGGGACACAGCTGCACACTGCTATGTGATCCCCTAAAATGCTCATGTGGGTTGTTGAGTCCCTGGCCTCTTGAGGTCAGGCCCCAGCCCCAGCCCATCTTGGGCACCAGTGTTTGTCCCCCCAGTCCTCTGCTTCCTAGAGGACAGTGGGCTGAGTGCCACCCTGGAAATGTGCTGGTAGCAGTCCCATCCTTCCTCCCTCCATCCTGATGACGTAGGAGGTCACACTGCTCCAAGCACCCAGGCAGCCCAATCTCAGCTCTGCCCAGGCAAGTCCAATTAGAGGATGTGTAGGGGCCTCATTAGCTGTGACAGCAGGAGTCTGTAGGAGGGGGCACCACAGGAAGCTGAGGGCGCTTGTGACCAGACATCCAGCGCTTTCCATCCTTACTCAAAGCCTGAGTAAGGCCTCAAAACACACTCCCATCAGTCACAGAGCTAGACTCCAGGACTCATGGAGGCTCATACCATACCTCATAGCCCCTCAAGGAATGGGTGCCCAAGATTAGTTCTGGAGCCTGCAGGGTCTTCCCTGGCTAAGAGCCCTCAAGGTCCCTATCAGCCTTGTTCCTGCATCTCTGGCTCCTTGTAGGGTAACAACTCCAAACCTGTACCATCCAGCCTGGTTCTTGGGGTGCCCCCCACAGCCCCTGAAAGCCGCCCCGGGGTCCAGGTGCCCACCTCCTCTTAAAATTGCCAGGGTCAGGATGTGCTGAGGGCAGGGCCAGGCCAACACCTCCCTTCGCTCACAGGCCCAGGGTTCTGAGGCAGCCAAAGATTGGGGAATGGAGGAGAGGTGTGTTGACTCTGGCAGGACACCGTCAGTCCTTATCCTCTAACAGCCAGAACCCACACTACTTGTGACAGGGAGGCTCTGTCACCTACTCCTTACCTTAAGGATGGTGTTTGGTTTCCTTCTAGAGCCTGCACTGACTCTCTCTGGAAGTTTCTCTGTAGAACATTAAGGTTTGGTCTCCTTACCTCTTCGCACCAGGAACTTCTCTCTGAGCTTCTGACCCAGCTCCAGCCAGGCACCCTCTATCTGAGGGCCAGACTCAAATGGATGGCCCCAGGGACACAAGCTTCTAAACTTCCTGTGGGGTTCCCTCCCAGCACCCAGGAAAAGCCACGTATGCCATGGACACTGGTGCCGTAGATCTACCTAGCTCCTTCTGAGGATTAGAGATCAGTGTTCCCAGGATGCTCCCATCCACCAGCCTGTGCCAAGAAGGGGCTCAGTCCTTTCTCCCCACTTCCCTCTGGGGGTCTCAGGCCAGAGCCAGAGCCTATTCTCTAGAGATGTCTCCTTTGTGCCTGTGACCTCAGTTACCAACCCCGCTAACTTTTTGTTACTGTTGTTTTGTTGAGACAGTGTCTCATCTTGCCCAAGCTGGTATGAGCTCTCACTATGTAGCAGAAGATGGCCTTGAACTCTTCCTGCATCTACTTCCTGGGAGCTGAGATATAGCTATGTGACCACCTTGCCCCATACTTTTCTTTTTTTGAGATAGGGTCTAACTTTGTGGCTCAGGCTGGCCTCAAATTCATGGTAAGTCTCCTGCTTCAGACTTCCAAGTTCTAGAATTGCAGTGTGAGTCACCACATCCATCCCAACAGTTTTCTAATCATTGGTGAGCTCCAGGCTTGTGCACCTGGCTGCCTCTCATAGTCCCTAGATGTCCTCTAAGATGTCACCTCACCCACCTCCTTCCTCAGCACTGCCCTCCTGCCCTGTCCCTACCCCGCCCATCCTTGCTCACAGCCTGAAACAGGCACAATCCCCTTTGCCTGGTCCCCTCCTCACCCAAGTCACATGTGTGTTCTAAGACCATGTGTGGTTCTATGTCCCCAGGCTTCTCAGGTTCTAAGGCAAGGTCACTTTCCCTTTGCTGTCTCCCACTGAGACAGACCTCTCTCTGCCCCAGGCCAGCTGCCACCTGAACTGGCTGGCCCATTTGGGGTTCACTTCTGTCTTGGGTGACTCAGCTGTGTACAGAGTGAGCACAGGGTACACTGGGGCTTCTGCTCAGTGGTAGAGCACTTGCCTTACATAGTACAGATTCAAGTTCCATCCTCAGAACGAGGGAATCTCACCATGGTGAGCTTGCTAAGCTGCCAAGCTTGCTGTTCTGCCTGCCCCACACCCTCTTTTTTGAGACAGGGTCTCTGTGCAGCTCAGACTTATTTAAGTACTAAGTGTTTCTTTTTCTTTTTTTGTTTTTTTGAGACAGAGTTTCTCTGTGTGTAGTAGCCCTGGCTGACCTGGAACTTGCTCTGTAGACCAGGCTGGCCTCGAACTCTGAGATCTTCCTGCCTCTACCTCCTGAGTGCTGGGATTAAAAGCATGCACCCCACCACTGCTGGGCTATTTTTTTTTTTTTTTTGAGAAAGTATCTATGTTGCCCTGGCTGTCCTGGAACTTGCTATGTAGACCAGGCTGGCCTCCAACCCAGAGATCCTCCTGCCTCTGTCTCCTAAGGGCTGGGATTAAAGGGCATACACCACCACTGCCCAGCAGCTTTTCTTAAAGACACTTCATGTCTTCTACAATATGCACAATTGTAAATAAGGGAATCATGACAGGATTTCTCCAGGGCAGCTTGAGTTTGCCCATCCCTTGAGGGCAAGGGTGTGTCCTTTTGGTTAGGGCTGCACCCTTAGCATTCAGCAGGCTCTCTGTTAAGCTCAAGGAGTAGATGGCACAGCAAGAGGGCTGAGGGTCAGTGGGATCCCAAATCCTCTTGGGGGCCTCTGGACTTCTGGGGCTTGGAGCCCCCTCTGCTCACCTGTCTCCTATCGGGGCCCTCAGCGGGAAACTCGGCCCCCTCCCACTGCCACACTCCACACAGAGGACTGGAAAGGCCAGCACCTGATGCATCCTGCTCCTGGAAACAGACGCTGCATCTGAACCTGGGAGGGCCAGAGCAGGGTGGGGCCCCAGGCGGGACTGAGGTGGAGGGAGGCTCAGGGGTGGGGCTGGGACAAGTTGGTAGGTGGGAAGTGTGGGACTGGGCCAAGCTGGTAGGTGGGAGGTGTGGGACTGGGTCAAGCTGGTAGGTGGGAGGTGTGGGACTGGGTCAAGCTGGTAGGTGGGAGGTGTGGTACAAGTGCGGAGGAAATAGGTAATGGGACCCTAGATTGGTAGATGTTAAGGAACATGGCCACAGGGGAGTTTTCAGGGCTGGTGCTGAGGCAGAGCAAGCTGGAGAAGGGCATGTGACTGGGAGGTGCTGCTCTGGCAGCAGTGTGAGCTGGAGTCACCAAGTACCAAGTACCCAGACCTCTGGGACTGTGGGCCAAAGAAGTGAGAGTCTGCACAGGGACACGTGGAGTTTCTGCCTTGGTGTCCTCAGAACATTCCATGGAAGCAGAGCATACCTGCCGGATAGCCTGAATCTCCAAGTCCAGTGATGGGGGCAGTGCCATGATCCAGCCTGCTCTTCCTGCCTCAGCCCCTTCCAGTAACCTGGCCACACAGAGGGGAGGCCTATCTTTTGGACCACAGTCTGCAGACTTCACCCTGTGGCCCAGCCCCCTCCTGCCCCTTTCATGCCTGACCATCCACTTAATCCTCCCTCCCCTGGGACACATCCCTGTCCCCCTTCTGACTATCCACTCACTGCTCTGGACCCTCCTGGCTCAGACTCAACTGCTCCTCCAGGTTCGAGATTTCTTGCCTTAGTTCCTGCAAGGAAGGCAGAGCGTGGGCCCTGGTAGAGAGCCACATCCTTGGTCTTTTCTTCCCTGGCACATACTGCCAAGGGCCCAGGATGAAGAAGCAGTGGCAGAAACTCACAAAGACTAAGAGAGCACAGGAGCCCAGAGCATAAGGCACAACCAGGAACATCACAAAGGCAGAGGAGACTCTTCTAAGGTGGGCAGACTCACAGAAAACAGAGGATGGAGCCACCAGACAGACTCGCCCAGGGAGGGGACAGGAGCTCCCAGAGTGTTGTGGGATGCAGAGTGAGGAAGGAGGGGGCAGAGAGTGAAAAGGTCTATCAGGGAAGGAAGCAGCGGATGCTGAGACCCATAAAGATGGGCACTTGTTACCTGGGTGGTGGTTCTGTACTCTTCCAGAGTGTGGGCCAGGCTCTCTGCATGGCGGGTATGCTGGGGAACACAGAGCCAGGGGTCGGTCAGCACCCTAAGACTCAGACCCTGCAGGCCACACTGTGACCTGAGGCCGCCTGTCTGGGTTGCCTGCCCAGGGCTCAGAGCTGGGTGGGCTCCTGCCACACAAGGCAGGGGCTAGGAAGGCATGCTAAGGGCATGTCTGTCCCCTCCCGGCCCTCACCTCTGAGAGGACTGCTTCACGCTGGCAAATGAGTTGTTCGCACTCACAGAGCTGCCGCTGCCAAGGAAGGAGCCGATACATCTCTTCACCCAGCCTCCCAGCAACCCCCCACATCTCCCCTCAGCCTCCTACTGCCCCCACCAGGCCCCGGCCAGTCTCCCCTCAGCCTCCAGTGACACCCATGGGTGTCAGCTGCTCTGAAGGGGACTCCAGCTGAGTTGCCCAGCAGCCCGAAGCATGTGGATTCTGATGCAGGAGCCTGTTCTCAGCAGCTGCAGTGCTGACTTGGATGCGGGGAGGTGAGCAGTCCTCAAGCCTAGACAAATGCTGCACCTTCAAAGCCTCTTTCTCTGTGGCCAGCTCCTCACTCCGCCTCTTCACTCCATCTCGCTCTGCTAGCAGCTTCCCATTCTGGAGGGAGGAACAGCCTTGCTCACCAGTCAACAGTACTGATGCTAACAGCTGCCATTCACTGCCATACGTTCACCTCAGTCAGCCCTTATTCTCCCACCACCCTGTTGGGACCTCAGCTGGAATTTCTCGTAAGTGGTTTTCCCACTGCTAAGGTGATAACAGGATTTCATGGGGTCCCTGTGAGTTAAATAAGTGAATAACAACTTCCAAGCACTTTGCATGTGAGACTGCGTTTCTTTTCCCATTTTTTAAAGACAAAGGCAACTCAGGCAAAGAGGGATTGAACAATTTGTTCCAGATCACACGGCTCTGATGTTAACACAGGCCAGGGAATGTTCATGAATGCAGACACTTAGAGCAGTCAGCAGGGCCTGGCATGCACCAGATAGAAATGTTAGAGATGAACGGTTATAGAAACTCATGTTTCCTAACATACAAAACTAAAAGTATAATGAGCCCAGAACACACACACACACACACACAGAGAGGCACGCACAATATCAATATATAGCTTGGGCTGGCTTTGAACTTGTGATCCTCCTGCTTCACCTAATCATGCCCAGCTGCAATAATTATATTTTGGTTTCTTCTTTTCTCCATATCTTTTGCTTTCCTGTCTAACTCAGTCATTTTAAAGCAGTTCTCTCATTTTCCCTGGAACAACCCTAGTGTTTACCTACTCACGACAACTTACTTCCTTTAGCAAAACCATAATCTGTGTGATGCCCAGTCCCACCTCTAATACTCAACCTCTTCTAGGGGGCCAGATGAAGCCCTGGGTGACAAAAGACATGTGAGAAGTGGTGGCACTCTAGCCACAAGGTGCACAGGGGCCAGTAGCAGAGACAAGGGAGAAGCAGATAACGCTTAGCCCAAGGCTCACTGAGGAGGCCCAAGCTGGATGGCGGGGCAGCTGCAGGGCTTGATGCAGAGGTGGTGCCTGGGCTGAACCTTCCAAGGGGAGGCAGTGAGGTCGGGAAAAGTCATCCACAGCAGCTGCCCAGTGTGACCTAAGAATAAAATGGCCCAAAGCTGGGTGTGAGGAAAGACATCTATCATCTCAGCACCAGGGAAGCTGAGATAGGAGGATTGCTTTAAGTACCAGGCCAGCCTGGGCTACATAACAAGTGTCTCAAAAATTAAAAACAAAAGAATATGACAATTCAGCTGGGCGGCAGTGGCACATGCCTTTAATCCTAGCACAGGCGGATCTCTGTGCGTTTGGGGGCAGACTGATCTACAGAGTGAGTTCCAGGACAACCAGGACTGTTATATGGAGAAACTTTGTCTTGAAAATTTAAAAATAAATAAATAAATAAATAAATAAATTCGAAGTCCAATGTTCCAGGCACCTGGAGTCTAGCAAACCTCATCCTTCTCCAGTGCCCCAGGAGACAGAGGCCAGCTCCTCTGGTCTCCGGCCTTGTTCCTGCTCAGGTCATCAGTGCCTCTCTCACCTCGGCAGCCTGGGCTGCTGCTGGGTGAAGGGCAGAGGAAGGGCAGCTGGGAGTGCTGTGTCAACACCTGTCCACCTGGTGGGACCCAAAAGCACCCTGCAGCCTCTTGCAGAAGCACCAGCTGTGGGGTTTTGGGATTCAGCCAGCAGCCAGACCTTTGGAGGCTGAGTGTCCTGTTACTCTATCAGGCCCTGCTGTAACCTGAGATCTCAATTTCTAGATCTCAGTGGGTAGCTGCAGAAGGCCAGCAAGCAGCTGAAAATAGCTCCAGCTATGGAGCCTAAAGTTCCTCTGCAGGGCACAGGGCCTGGGGCAGGAGGCAGGGGTGTGGTGGTCTGTTCCTGGGGCTGACTCCTGCAGGCTGCATCCCCCCTGGGGGCAGTGACAAGGAAACCTGACTGCTGGAGGAGCAGCTACCCCAACCCCTCCTGGCTGGCTGGCTGTGCTCCAGGCTGAAGGTGAGACATCCTCCCAGGCTCCCTCGCAGTGGTGAAGGGATCCTCCCCAGTCAATGATGTGGTGGAGATGGCTGTTGAAATGACGCAGAGAGAGGCAGGAGTATGTGTATGGGGGGCGGGGTAGTGCCTCCCCACCTGCCTTGAGCCATCTGTGACTATGAGGCCACAAGCAGAAGAAGCTGCCAAGAGACTGGGTATGGAGGAGCTTGCCTGCAGGCCCGACCTCACCCGGCTAAGGCAGAAGAACTAAGAGTTCAAAGCCAGCCTATATACTACTCAGTAAGACCTGTTACAAAAAAACCCAGGGCAGCCGGTGACACACGCCTTTAATCTCAGCACTCGGGAGGCAGGAGCGGGCAGATCTCGGTGAGTTCGAGGCCAGTCTGGTCTACAGAGCAAGTTTCAGGACAGCCAGGGCTACACAGAGAAACCCTGTCTCGAAAAAAACAACAAAACAAACAAACAAACAAACAAACAAACCCCAGGGCTGGGGATGTGGCTCAGTGTTGCTTGCCTAACACATGCAAGACTCTGGGTTCCAGGGCTGGAGAGATGGCTCAGAGGTTAAGAGCACTGACTGTCCTTCCGGAGGTCCTGAGTTCAATTCCCAGCAACCACATGGTGGCTCACAACCATCTGTAATGAGATCCAGTGCCCTCTTCTGGCATGCAGGCATACACGCAGGAAGAATACTGTATGTATAATAAATAAATAAATCTTTAAAAAAAAAAAAAGACTCTGGGTTCCATTCTCAGCATACTCTCACTTAAGGAGAAAAGAAAAAAAAAGCCAGGGCTGGAGAGACGGCTCAGCAGCTAAGAGCACTGGCTGCTCTTCCAGAGGTTCTGAGTTCAATTCCCAGCACCCACATGGTGGCTCACAGCCATCTATAATGGGATCTAATGCTCTCTTCTGGCCTGCAGGCATACATGCAGAGTACTCATACATATAAATCAATCAATCAATCAATCAATAGAATTAAAAGAAAAGAGCCACCAGATAATCCAGAGACCAGAAACTGCTCTGGGCAGAAACGGCCCATGTGCCCCTGGAGCGGGCATGTTGCAGTCCACTGGTACTGCAGAATCAGGGAGCAGGAGAACCATCCTAGCTGGGTGCCTGGGAGCTGTGACAAAGGCCCCGGGGAGAGGTCTCCTTCATTTTCTGTCCCCCTTTGACGACAGGGTCTCTCTCTGGAACTCACTATTTAGACCAGGCTAGCCTTGAACTCACAGAGATCTGCCCACCTCTGCGTCTGCCTCCCAAGTGCTGGGATTAGATCTCCTTCATTCTTTTTATTTTTTATTTTATTTATTTATTTATTTAGGTTTTTCTAGACAGGGTTTCTCTGTGTAGTTTTGGAGCCTGTCCTGGACCTTGTTCTGTAGACCAGGCTGGCCTCGAACTCACAGAGATCTGCCTGGCTCTGCTGGGATTAAAGGCGTGCGCCACCACTGCCCGGCTGATCTCCTTCATTCTTTATTTTTATTTTTTTTTTTTTTGGTTTTTTTTTTTTCGAGACAGGGTTTCTCTGTGTAGCTTTGCGCCTTTCCTGGAACTCGCTTTGGAGACCAGGCTGGCCTCGAACTCACAGAGATCCGCCTGCCTCTGCCTCCCGAGTGCTGGGATTAAAGGCGTGCGCCACCACCGCCCGGCTCATTCTTTAAAAAAAAAAAAAAAAAAAAGAAAAGAAAGAAAGAAAGAAAATGTCTGGGGGCTGGAGAGATGGCTCAGTGGTTAAGAGCACTAGCTCTTCTTCCAGAGGACCCAGGTTCAATTCCCAGTAATCACATGGTGGCTCACAACCATCGTAACTCCAGTTCCAGAATTTCCCATGCCCTCTTCTGGTCTCCACTGGAACTAAGCACTCACGTGGTGCACAGGCATACATAAAGGCAAAACACTCAGACATACAATACATTCTTTAAAAATATTCTACAAGGTATTTCCCTGACTGAATGCAGACTTCAGTGGGACCCCCATTACCCCAGAAAGGGAAACGGTTCACAGAGGAGCCAGAGAACGCTGAAGAAGAGAAACTTAGGATCTCAGCAAAAGGCCCAGTGCAGACACAGAGTCAGGACAGGAGCTGGGGACCCACAGGGAGAGAACTTCAGCTGGGGCTGGGAAGCCAGAGAAGGGCTCAGAGCTCTGTGCCCTGGCTGGCATGGAGGGGAACCTCGGAACCATGGGACACCTGATTCTGAATGAGCTTCCCTCCCAGCTCACTCAGGACTGCTGCAGGGCAGCAGAGGTAGACCACACAGGTGCAGCTGGGTGCCTTCACAGGAAAGCAGCCAGATCCCCTGGGTGACCCCGGGAGGCTGAGCTAAAGCCATAGCCCAGGAGAGGAGACAGGCATCCAGGCACCAGCAGGTAGAGCAAGCCCAGATTTGAAGGCAAGTAGAGGGAACAAAGGCTGTCAATCTGTAAGGACAGCAGAGGACCAATGCTGCCTGGGATGTGAACCCATATGGATCTGTAACTGATCTGCCACCTTGGGGGAGGAGGGGTGGTGTGGATATCATTAACACTTGATGGATTTCAACGTGGACAACAACTCGGAGTGAACAGGGACTTAAACAGGTCTGGAGTGTAGGGCTAGCCTCAGGTAAACACCGTCTCTTCACTATTATCACAACCCAACTGTGCAGACTCCTGCTGGCTCCTGAAGAACACCCAGGCCTGATGGCCGCCTGCCCAGCATGCCCAAGGCCCAGAGCTCCATCTCCAGCGCCACCAAAATGAAAAACAGAAACCAAAGCTCAGGAGGGAAGGGAAGAGCTACAGGCCTGAAGTCTGTGACTCCTGGAGGTGGCTTTTATAAGCTTTTGCAGTTTCATTTGCATTGCCAGGGATCAAAGCCACACACAACACACCGATATCAAGAGTGGTGAGTGGCACTTTGTTCAGACTCCCGAGTACTGGGATGACAGGCACGGAGCACTATACCAGATGCTGGATCTTACTGTGCACACCCTATCTAGCCTCCCTTGAGTTAGGAACTTTCTAAACATCTGGTTTAAACCTCACACTACCCTGTGAGGTGCAGCCACTGGCTGGCTCTCCTGATGGTGGGGTACCACAATGCACACAAGGGAAGAACTGGCCAGGGCCTCAACATGAACCCAGGGGCTACAGCCTGTGGGATGCTGGGCCCCCTTGGCGGGCAAGACGGGGCAGGAACTCTTAAAGTTGGGTGGGCCTCAGCTTACCTCCTCCTGTAACGTCTCCACCTCAGCCACCAGGTGCTGCTGCTCCTTCTCCTGGCCCAGCCGAGAGAGGATAGAATCAGTTCCAGTCCCTGCCCCATCCCCCTCCCTGACCCAGGAATGCAGTCAGGGCCTCTATCACTGGAGAGCTGGGCTGAGGAGGGCTTATGAGGGGTGAGGGAGTGTGGGGTGAACAGGACCTGGAAGTCAGGTAACCTCTGCCCTTTTGCTGCAGCCATATTTGCCCTGCCGGCACTCACTGTGTGCCGTGCCTGGGCCATTAGGCAGCGATTCTGCTCTTCCAGGCTCTTGGCCAGAGTCTTCAGGTCCTCCAGCTCCTCATCTAAAGCCTTGGCCGCCTGCAGGGCCTGCTGGGTGCTGATGGGTGGCACAGATATGAGAGGAGGCAGGCGGAGAAGTAGAGCAAAACACCCTAGACTATGAGGGGAGACTATGACCATACATAAGCTAGGCCAAGGGGCACAAGGATCAGAGAGAAAGGGACAGGGGCATGCAGTGTGGGAGGGAGACAGCGTTCACTTTTCACCCGAGGAAGGAAGCACGGAGCCACACAGCAAAGACAGAAAGAGGGTAGAGGGAGAGAACGAGAGCAAAAACTGGAAGGAGTCAGTCAGGCTGAACCCGAAGGCCAGAAGACAAGACCCAGATAGGAGGAAGTGGAAGGCAGGCCTGGGCAGTAGGGTGCCTGCCTGTACCTGAGGCCTGGGCAGTAGGGTGCGCGCCTGTACCTGCGGCCTGGGCAGTGGAGTGCCCGCCTGTACCAGCGGCCTGGGCAGTGGAGTGCCCGCCTGTACCAGTGGCCCAGGCTCTCTGGCAGAAGGGAAGACGCAGGCACTCACCTTCGCAACTGCTTGCGCAGGGCTGCAATCTCGGCCCCCAGGCGTGCTGAACCCTCCTCGGCAGTCTCCACGCTGTGCTGCAGCTTGGCGTTCTCGCCAGCAAGGCGCCGGTTGCTGAGCTCCAGGTCCTCTAGGCTGCTCAGCAGCTCAGCTGTGGCAGGCCTGAGGGCAGCACGGGCCTGGTCACCCACCCTGCCCCTGCTCCCACCTCCCCCAGCTTCCTAGGTAGAGCAGGTGCCGGCAGCTGGGGAAAGGGTTCCTCTAAGACAAATCAGAATCAAACTCCAAGGCTCTCCTGAGCCAAAGAACATCCATCTCCCCACTCCCAGGCCCCAGATAGGCTGGAGAAAATAGAGTGGGATGGCGTGGGGAAGACAGGCACCCCTCAGGCCTGGGGTCTTCTCCTCCAAAGCTCTCTAAGTTGGCTGGCTCCTCGGCTTCTGGGCATTCTGGAAAGGGACAGACAAAAGAAGGTCGGACTCTTTGGTGACTTTAAAAGTTGGGGTGTCCAAGGACCCTGGGACTGTTCCAGGACTCTGGCCTCCCAGTTTTTCCATGTGTAGCTTTGGGGTTCCCTGGGCTGAATTACTCTTATTACATACATAGGCTGCTTGCTCATGCTTATCTGGAGCTCAGCCAGGTCTTCAGAACAAGTCACCAGGGGTTCCCCCACTTCCCCAAGCCCCCTCCTGTTCCCAGCTTTCCCCGAGTCTTAAGGCCCTCATCACCACCAGTCTGTCATTGCTGGAGTTCAGCCAGTTAGACTGTTTCCACCGCATCCACCATCACACTACCTTCCTCTCTCCCTGGGCACTCCCCAGCCTCTGCCTCCTTTCTCTGTCTTCCCCTATGTGACCTGGCCACCCTCTGCTGCTCACAGTCCTCCCTGGCCCCCAAGATTGAAGAGGCCTCAAGGTTCAAGGGAATGCCAAGAGCTGGGTGAGGTGGTGCACACCTTTAATCCCAGCAGCTGGGAAACAGAGTCAGGGTGATCTCTGTGAGTTTAAGGCCCGCCTGGTCTGTACAGTGAGTTCCAGGACAGCCAGGACTACACAGAGAAACCCTGTCTCAAAAAAAAAAGAAAGAAAAGAAGAGAAAAAAAAAAAAGAAAGCAAACAGCAACAACAAACCCAACCTGAAACCAAAACAAACATAAAAAAGAGAATGCCGAGAGAGCTTCAGTGTGGGTTCTGCACGGTCACTTTTTAGTGGTACATCTCTGAGGTGTGAGGTCCTGGGCACCCAGCACCCTAGCATAGGGCTGGGATAGAGCCAGGCAGATGCCTGTTCTCAAGGCACAGCAAGCAGGTGTAAGAGGTGTGTATGGGGGCAGGGCCAGGAGGAGCCTGGCAGGCCAAGACTGCCCTGTGCCATGGGAAGATTTCAACAGTGTGGGAGAGCCAGGAAGCGGCAGTCTCTCTCCTCAGCCTCTACACTAGGGCTGGAGCTGGGAGGAGGGATGGAAACCTGACCCCAGAGTCCAGGATGAGGGGCTGTCCCAGAAGGCCACCACAGCTGCAGGCTGCGCAAAGGCCCAGGTGTCTCTTTAGCCCTTGCTGTGTGGAGCGGGTAGATGAGAGGTCCCTGCTCACCCCCGCTGACCCCTGCCACCCCGTCTGCTTCTATAAATAGGCTCACCAGATGGCAGGTGTGGAGAAGCCAGGGCTCCCCCGAAGGCGGTCTCCTCTGCCTGCTCTAATCCCCTGTATCAAAGGCAAGAGGCTCAGGTCCCCTGCAGCCAGGGCCTGTGCCTGCAGGGGTCTGGGTGGTGGAGGGGAGGGCAGTCGGGGGAGTGTGGCTCTATGGGCGCAGTAAGGCCAGCTGGTAGGGCCTGGGCTGTGAAGAGCAGCCCTTCCCATCGCCAGCCCCTCTAGTTCGGCCTCTCGGGTCCCTGCCCCATCATCCGAGGCATTTGGTCCTCAGACTTTACCCCTCCATATCTTTTCACGCGTCTTTCCTTAGCCTCAAGCCAACCACATGGAGTTCCTGGGCCTAACTGGTACTGGCTACAGAGCAAACTTGAAAGACTTCCCAGGTGGGAGGCTGCTGGTGTAGGGACTCACCCATGCAATTGACAGGCAGCAATCCAGTCCCTCATGACCACCAGAAAGGTGCCCAGCTCCACAGTGGCTTCAGCACCCTCCCCGTAAGGGTCCAAGCTTCGGGCCAGTGTTTGGAGGCGCACATCCTGCGGACCCTGTCCTGTCACAGCCTCCAGGTAGGCCAGGAGGTGGGCAACAGCCACAGTGCCTGGGACAGAGCATGGTGGCGAAGACTGGACTGGACACTGGCTTGGGAACAGTGCCTGTCATCCATGGGCTGGTGACATGCCTGCCCCACAGCATGCAGAGGGACCTGGGCAAGTTCCTCCCTGGAGTCAAATTTTCTGTCCACCTCAGAGTGAACCAAAGAGGACGAGCCAGGGCTGTACCCACTGCTGTACCAGGCCAGAGACTAACTCCCTCCAGGGCCTTACGCGCTTCCTACCCCACCCCCATCCCCATGTCATGTTCCTGTCCCTGTGGGACCCCTGAGGAGGGCCCTAGCCCAGCCCGCACCTGTCTTGTGAGGGTCACAGGCTTCAAATGTAGAGTTAAGAATTTGCTCCTCTAGGCTGAGCAGTGGTCCTGAATTCAGTTCCTCAGGCTGCTCCCAGAGGTACACTGTAGAGAAAAGACGACCCGCCCTGTGTGAGGGGCACCAGGACCTTGCTGCCTCATATCCAGTCTCTGCTGAGTTGGGGGCTAATTTATTTAGAGCGATCTGTTGTTAGGCTAGTGAAGGACAGCAGGAGGCTTCCAGTCAGGAGGCAACATGAGGGTTTTTGAGTCACTGCTCCCAAGTGGGGCCCATCTCTCAGGCCAGGGAGTGCCCCCTGCTGTCTGTGGAGTCCTTAATGAGCTCTGAGATGACCCTCACCTCCTCCTTTCTCCAACCTCCCAGACTACAGATCAGAGGGCACCAGGCTTGAGAAAAGCAAAGAAGAGGATTCTGGAAAAAGCCAGGATGAAGGTGGCCCAGGAGCAAGAACAATCCGATAAGGCGTGGGCAGCCTACATCGATCCCGCCTGCTGCAGCCTTCCTCCAGTTACCCCAGGGACCAGGTCTCATCTCTCTATCCCCAGCATGGCGTCATCAGAGCTGGAGGAGCACAGGCCAGCATCAAGAGGAAGAGGAGGGAGGGGACTGTCTAAGCAGGGGCAGCAGGGGACTGGTTAGGAGCTGAGCCTCCTGTCAGACTCCCCTGAGTCAGCAGCACCACAGCACCACAGCAGACCTTCTTTGGGAGGTCTGTTTCCATGCCAGTAAAATCCCCCCTCAAGAGGATTGAGAGGGCTGCTCTGCCCTCATGTGTGAAGATGGGTGTGCATGCATGCGTATGGGAGTGTGAGTGTGTGTGCATGTGTGATATGTTCAGTGTGTGTGTGTACTGTGTAGTGCAATACGTAGTGTGGTGCGATATGTGTATGTGTGTGTGTCTATGCATATATGTATATGTGGTGTGTGTTTATGTGTGCGCGTGCGTGTGCATGTGCGTGTGTGTGTGTGTGCGTGTGCGTGTGTGTGTGTGTGTGCGTGTGCGTGTGTTTGTGTGTGTGCGTGTGCGTGTGCGTGTGTGTGTGTGTGTGTGTGTGTGTGTGTGTGTGTGTTGGTAGGGCAGCTCTCACTTGGCTCAGATCCACTGTGTATTGTGCGTATGTGCCTGTCTTCTGGGATCTTTTGGTCTTCAGCTATATTCACATTGCCTGAATATAGCAGGCACTCAATAATCTCCATGCCATAGAGCCTCTCCAAGCTAGAGGTGGCTTTCACACCTCTCATTGGCCTGGCTTGCTGAGATGAATGCCCACTGCACATGGCTGCAGGGTTAGAGTCTGAGCTGGGGATGAAGTGGGCAACCTGCCCCACACTACCAGCAAGCCAGGACTCAACCTCTGAGCCTCAGCAGTGTCCTAAGGAAAGCTACCTCCCTCCTAGAAAAGAATGGGATAAAATGTGGGTGCTTGGCACATAAGTACAGGCACTCATGGAGCATCAGACCAGGGCAGCTGCTGTTCCGAAAGGTGAGTCTGCGGCAGAAGCAGCAGAAGTGGCCACAGCTGCCTTCTAGCACAGGAGTCCCCTTTCTCACACTTCCCTGACTTAGTTCACCAGAGACCTGGACCGTTCTTGCTCCCATGTGAGGGCCCTAGGGGCCCAGGTGAGTTAGGAGAGGTGGACTTCGGCTGCTCTACTGCTCTTTATCCTCCTGTGTTACAAAGGAGGACTCTGTGGCCCAGTAAGGCCACTGCTACATAGTCCCTTCCCTTCACTTCCCAGTTGTCCTGAAATTCACTGTGTAAATCAGGCTGGCCTCAAACTCACAGAGATCCACCTGCCTCTGCTAGTTAGTATTAAAGATATGCGCCACCACTGCCCAGCTCTACTTTTCTTTCGGGATCTTTCTTCCACGTCTTCCCCAACCTCTCTCACATGTCTAGCCTCTGTCCTGTGTCCCTCGATACATACTCCCATCCTCCATCTTGTGCCTTCTCTCTCCTTTGCTACCCCTGTCTTTCAACCCCTGCTTTTCCTGTGGGTGAGTTCTCTTTCCTAGGGCAGTCTCAGGAGTTGACTCGGAGATGGTCATAGTTCCTGGTGGCCGCACGCCCTCTGCTGGTGCAGGCTAGGTTTAGATGGCAGTCATTCCCCCCAAGCCAGGCAGCCTTCTGGTCCTGGCACGCTGTGTCTGCCTGCCTGTAAAACCCTCCTATTTGTAGAGGTTACTACTGAAGTGCCCATCTCAGGCTGGGCCGAGCTGTGAACACCAGGAGCCTGGAAGGCAGGACACGCCTACAAATGACCCCACTGCCTGCTAGAGGCAAGAGCTTCTTGACTAGACCAGCTCTCCCTGCTAGCACATCCTCAGGAGATGGAGGGAGAGGTCAGAGGTGAGGTCAGGGCAGAGTGGAGGAGGGAGAGAGATGGACGCTTAGGGAACAGAGTTGCTGAGATAGGGCAGAGAAAGAGACAGGCAGAGAAGAAAACAGCGCTCAGAGGCAGAGATGGAGGAGGCTGGCCCACAGAAGGAAGCCGTTAGCCAGTATCTTCCTCCCTGAGCTGATGTGTGCTGGCTCCCACACCGACGTGTCTACATCTGCCCGCCCGCCAGGCACCGAGCTGCCACAGTGAAGCGGGCCTTGCTGAGGCAGAGGCTGACTGCACTTGAACAGGCCAAGATGTTTTGTTAGTCTGAAGCACCACACACTAGTTCTCAAAGATGTCTGAAAACACAGGAATAACTCAGCATGTTTTTATGCTGCTTAACGTAGAAAACAGTTGGTATGCGTAGAGTTAAATCAGTCAATAGCATTCGTATCATCTGCTTGATCTGGCCTTGAACTTTCTGTCTTCTTGCCTTAGCTCTGCAGTTCCAGGACTACAGGTATGAACCCCTTGCCAGCTTTTCTCTTTTAAAAAATTAAAAGTTACATACGTGAGCTGGGCAGGTGGAGCACACATGTAATCTCAACACGTGAGAAGCAGAGGTAGGAGGAATGAAAGTCCAAAAAACAAAAGCAAAGCCCAGAGATGGGGACACAGCTCAGTGGGGATTGATTGCCTAGCACACACAAAGCCCTGGATTCCGTCTCCTGCACTGTAACACACACCCACACACACACACACACACACACACACACCGGGGAGCAGCAGCAAGAGTGGAATAAGGTCTGTGGAGCCATGCTGAGTCTTGCACTAAGCAGGTGACAGACAGACAGACAGACAGACGCCAGTGTTGGGAGGAGAAGTGCATGAGGAAGGGAGAGAGGGCCAGGGCACCTGTTTTACCCAGAGTCAGAGCTATCACTGGCCCACGAGCTGAACACAGGCAGTCAGTGGGAAGAGGTGTGGAGGTGTGGATGTTACCGTGTGCAGTCTCCAACAGCTGCCCGCCAGAGAGGAGGACATGGGAACAGACACGTGGCAAGCCCACAGTCGACACTCAGCCCACCACCATTTGCTTCTGCCCACCCTGCCTGGCCACCTCTCCTGCTCCCAGCCTGACCCGCAGCTCCCTCCTCCTCCTCTTCCAGGCAGACACCTACTTTGTGCAGCACAGCCACTAGCTGGGTCCGCTGGCAGCTCCATGGACCACTGCTGCTTCGCTGCTGCTGCTGGTGAAGCTCTCACCTTCCCTCCACTGCTAGGGGGGCTGGGGAAGGGACAGTCTGTCCAGATAGCTCCTAGAAGGACAAACAGAGTGATGGCTTCCTCAGACTAGCCACATTCCCACTGCTCCATCTCTGCCCCAGGCCCTCGGGGTTCGCAGAACCTGTTTGCCAGCCCCATCCCAACTCCAACCTGGTTTTATGGATTTGAGTATGGGATGGCAACCTGAAGACTGAGGAGCAGGCAGATCATCAAAGCGGGAGGCAAGAGGGTGGGGTCACCTGCCGCTCCAGGGCTTGTGGCCACCTCTCTTCCCCACAGCCTGCCAAGTCACCCTCTCTGAGATCCACCTCGGCCCTTCTGCCTTCCCCACAGCCTGCCTTAGGTTCTCTCGGTCCATGATCTGTTTGCCTCCACAGGAATGGGCATCACCGGGACTGCTTCCTTGTCTTTTTTTCCTCTTTAGGCTTATTTTTATTTTATGTCTGCACGTGTATTTACCACATGTGTGTCTGATACCTTTGGAGGCATCAGATCTCTTGGAACTGGAGTTACAAATGGTTGTGAGCTGCCATGTGGGTTCTGGGAAGGAAAGTGGGTCATTTGCAAGAGTAGTGTTTCAGGGTTTTTGATGTTTTGTTTGTTTGTTTTGTTTAAAACAAAACAAGGTCACTCATTACAGCCCTCATTGGCCTGGAATTTGCCATGAAGACAAGCCCAGCTTTGAACTCAGATCCACCTGAGTTCCAGAGTGCTGGGATTAGAGGCATGAGCCATCAAGGTGACAGAGAGCAAGTGCTCTTAACCACTGAACCATTTTTCCTCTCCATCAGTAATCTCCGCGTCCCTTACCCTCCATGGCCATGGGAACTCAGCATATCACCTCCTGGCCTGCTGCTCCCTGGGTTCTCACAGGCCCTTGTGGACCTGGGCCTCCCTCCTCTGCACCCTGATGGTGCTACCTCTATTACAGCCAGGTCAGTCAAAATAAGGGCCACTTTTGGCAGGTGATGGCGGCGCACGCCTTTAATCCCAGCACTTGGGAGGCAGAGACAGGTGGATCTCTATAAGTTCATGGCCAGCCTGGTCTACAGAGCAAGTCCAGGACAGCCAGGGCTGCACAGAGAGACCCTGTCTTGAAAACAAACAAACAAAAGAAAACAAAAATAAGGGTACTTTCAAGAGAAAAGGAGGCATCATGAGTAACTGCCCCAGGTGCTAGGCAACAGTGCCTCTGAGGCCGAGAAGGCCCCTGGGGCAAGGGTCAGAGAGGGTTCGGGTTCCCACCTGCTTGCCTCCCTTTTTCTCATGAAATGCAGCCAACACTGCCTTGCCTGTATTCCACTAGCTGCACGTTTCTGGAGACATTATTATTTGGCTTTTGGAGACAGGGTCTTATTACGTAGCTTCAGAGGGCCTTCTGAATCTGTGGAGGCCAGGCTGGTCTTCAGCTTGTAGAGATCCTCCTGCTGTCCAGCCTAGAGGCTTTCAGAAGGCACTGGGGAAGGGACATGTTTCCAGAGACTTCCAGGAACACAGCAGGAAGAAAAGGGGCAAGGGGAAAGACTCTCTTGAACTCTGCCAGAGTTTGGGGGCAAACTTCTGAACTAGGGAGATCAAGTTTCTGGTGGGTGTCTGAGGGGCCTTGGACATGGGTGGGTCCTCGTATCCTAAGGGGAAGTCTTGAGGGGTCCCTGAACTAGAACTCAAGGGCCACATTTCTAGGGTGTCACTAGATTTCAAGGTCCCCAGCAGAACTTGCAGAGGCTCTAGTACAGATTTCTAGAGTGTGAGGCAGGACTTGAATACAGAATTTCCACCAGGATTCCATAGGAAAAGCCTCTGACACGTTTTGAGGAAGAAATCTGAAGGGATATCTAGAAGATTCTAGTTGATGTCGTGGTGGCCTACACTTGCGATACCAGCACTCAGGAGGTTGAGGCATCAGGATCCAACTTTGAGCACAGCCTGGACACCTTAATGAGGCTCTGTCTCAAAAACCAACACAGAGTCCCTGGAGAGGCAGCTTAGTGATTAAGAGGACTAACGGTTGCCCTTCCAGAAGACCTGGGTTCCATTCCCACCACCCACAAGACATCTCACAACCATCTGTAACTTCAGTTCCAGGGGATCCAACAACCTTTTCTGGTCTCCACAGGCATGCACCTGGTGCACGTACATACATGCAGATAAAACACTCATATACATAAAATAAAAATAAATACATCTTCTAAAAAACAAAACAAAACGAAAATAAAGCCTGGTAATGATGGCATACACCTTTAATCCCAGCACTCGGGAGGCTGAGGCAGGGAGATCTCTGAGAGTTGGAGGCCAGCCTGGGCTACAGAGCTAGTTCTAGGACAGCTACTCAGAGAAACTATGTCTCAAAACAAAAAACACACACCTACCCCTGCAAAAACAAAATGAAACATAAGTAACTGTTAAGTATCAAAGTTTCTGGAAGATTGTAGCTGGGCATGTTTGAGAGAGCTGTAATCTTAAAACTGAGGCAAGAGGGTCACAAGTTCATAACCATCCTGGGCAACACTTAGTCTATCTCAAACAAACAAAAAAAAATACACAAAACAAACAACAAAAAGCATCGGAGCCGGGCGGTGGTGGCGCACGCCTTTAATCCCAGCACTTGGGAGGCAGAGGAAGGCAGGTCTCCGAGTTCGAGGCCAGCCTGGTCTACAGAGTAAGTTCTAGGACTGCCAGGGCTACACAGAAAAATCCTGTCTTGAGGGGAGTGGGGGAGAGACACAACAAAAAAATAAACAACAACAACAAAAAAACAACCCACAAACAAAAAATTTCGGCCGGGTGGTGGCCCACGCCTTTATCCCAACACTTGGGAGGCAGAGACGGATCTCTGTGAGTTCGAGGCCAGCCTGGGCTACAGAGTGAGTTTCAGGGCAGGCTCTAAAGCTACAAAGGGAAACCCTGTCTCGAAAAACAAACAAACAAAAAATTAAAAATAAAAAATTCCCAGAGAGTATTCCATACATTTCGGAGAGGATTTGGTCAGGACTTGGAGCGTTTTTAAAGGCGTAGGCAGGTGATGTTACTGGGGAGTCTTGCAGGAATTTCGGGAGTGACTGCCGCGGCTCCTCGGGGGAAATGGCCACAGGCAGGGCGTACCTGGGGTCAGGCCTCTCGGGACACAGCTGGGGGCCGCCAACGACGAACGGCGGTTGCGAATGGCGCGGAAGAGGCGTGCTCACACGCGCCTTTCCCGCCAGAAATGCAAATGACCGCCTCCTTCAAGACCCGCCCCTCCCGGGCTCCTGTCTCCACGCAGGCGCACACCGGGCCGAAGGCGCCCGCGGAGCCCCTCACCAGGAAGCCCCTGCTCGCGCATGCGTAGAACTCCTTGGGCGCCTCGCCTAGGCCAGAGCGAGCGCATGCGCACTGGTGGAGCGAGCCTTGGTAAACCGCCGGGAACTTTCTTTGTGGTACAGGCTCTTTGCCTTCGGCCTGGTGAAATAGCAGGGTAGGGGTCGACTGAAGGACTCCCTGTTTACCCCTCACTGAGCCGAATCCTGTCTGTCTTCTCTTGGGTCCGGCGCCCGCTACCGTCACAATGGTGCCCAGCCTGGTCCAGCCTCACGTCTGCTCTGTGCCCTCCTGTGGCATTAATACGTCCCCGACCTGCATTCCCCCAAATTTGTTACTTATTTCCTTCCTTAGTTATTGAGACATTGCCTAGCTGTGTAGTCCAGGCTGGTATCGGACGTGGAGCACTCGCCCTGCCTCAGCCCCTCACGCTGGGTTGGTTGGTTTCACGGCAGTAAAGAAGGAGCGGGTGACAGGACTCATTCCCAGAGACATTTGGAACAGAAGGCTCCAACCTCTCCTCCGTTTGTTACTTCGGAAAACGTGATCCGCTGTTGCGCTTTCCTCTGGGTCTGCTTCATCTGTTTAGGGTCCATCAGGTGGTAGAGTCTGTTTGTGGGTGCCACTCCCAGGCTTCCTCCGGTATGCTCTCCCCAAAATGGGCACTAAGAGCATGACCAGGTGCTTAAAATTTTGTTATTTAGTCGGGTATGGTCAGCGCACAGGAGGCAGAGGCAGGAGGATGGAGGAAAGTGAGGCCAGCCTGGTCTACATAGTCCTAGGCTGGCCATATTATGTAATGAGGTGAGATGAATCAGTGAGTAAGACACTTGTCACCCATCCTGGTGACCTGGGATGGATCCCCACGACCCACATGGTGGAAAGAGGTCCCCTGAAGCCAATGCAGACTATGTTGTGTGTGTGCCCTCCTACCCCTTGTTTATGATAGGGGGCGGGACTTGTAGCTCAGCTGGTACAGTGAACTGGGCATGGTGGTGCACCAGCACTCAGGAAGTAGAGACAAAAATTCAAAGTCTTTCTCAGTTCAGCACATGAGACCTTGTGTATGTTGGTTAGGTTTTGGTTTCCTTGATACAATCTAGTCATCTGGGAAGAGGAACCTCAACTGAGAAAATATCTCATTAGATTGCCCTGTAGGCAAGCCTGTGGGGATGTTTTCTTGATTCATGAGTGATATGGGAGGACCCAGCCCACTGTGGGCAGAACCACCCCTGGGAAGGTGGTTCTGAGTTGTATGAAAAAAGCAAGCTGGGCCAGGCGATGGTGGCGCATGCCTTTAATCCCAGCGCTCAGGAGGCAGAGGCAGGCGGATCTCTGTGAGTTCAAGGCTATCCTGGTTTACAGAGTGAGTTCCAGGATAGTCAGGGCTGTTATACAGATTAACTGTTTCAAAAAATTAAAGGAAAAAGGAAGAAATAAAAAAAAAAAAAAGAAAGAAAACAACAAGCCGAGGGAAGCATGGCTTCTGCTTCAGCTCCTGCTTTGAGCTCGTGCACTGACTTCCCTCAGGAAAGGAATGTGATCTAAGAGTTGTGTGATGAAATAAACTCTCTACATCCCAACTGGTCTACAGAGCAAGATCTAGGACAGGCACCAAAACTACTCAGAGAAACCCTGTCTTGAAAAACCAAAAAAAGAAGAAAAAAAAAAAGCTTCCCTGGAGATCAGAGTGCAGAGCTAGCCACAAGTTCGCCATAGAGGCCAGGCAGTGGTGGCACTCACATTTAATCCCAGCACTTGGGGTCTCACGCCTTTAATCTCAGCACTAGGGTAGGGAGGTGGAGACAGGAAGCAAGATGGCTGGGCAGAGAGGAATATAAGGCAGGAGGAGACAGGAGCTCACCCCTTTCATACTGAGGAGTTGTCGAGGTTAGAGGTGGCTGTGGCTTGCTCCTTTGTCTCTCTGATATACCCTGATATCTGGCCCTGGGTTTTTATTATTAAGACCAATTAGGATTCATGCTACAATCTCCTTTTGGTATCTGTTCCCAGTCAAGCCACACAGCTACTCCCTCTAGCACATACATTCAGTCCACACACTTAGCTCTCAGTATGGCTGTTCCAGATCTTGCCTGCATCTCATTCAGAACACTGTCTGTCTTAGGTAGGGTTTCTATTGCTGTGATGAAACACCATGACCAAAAAGCAAGTTGGGGAGGAAAGGATTTATTTGGCTTACACTTCAGCGTTGCTGTTCATCACCAAGGAAGTCAGGACAGGAACTAAACAGGGCAGGATCCTGGAGGCAGAAGCTGATGCAGAGGCCATGGAGGGGAGCTGTTTACTGGCTTGCTTCCCATGGCTTGCTCAACTTGCTTTCTTATAGAACCCCGGACCAACAGCCCAGGGATAGCACCACCCATCATGGATTGGGCCTTCCCCATTGATCACTAATTGAGAAAATACCTTACAGCTGGATCTCAAGGAGGCATTTCCTCAACTGAGGCTCCTTCCTCTGATGACTCCAGCTTGTGTCAAGTTGACACGCAAAGCCAGGCAGTACACCATCTCTTAGTTGGGCAACTTGGTCTCCTATGGCACCACGATGTGCACCTGGTACTGAAGGAAGCCTTTGATCCAGCCTGTTTACCCTCCCAAGCCTCCAAGGTTTTTTTTGTTTTGTTTTGTTTTGCTTTTTTGTTTTTGTTTTTGTTTTTCCAGACAGGGTTTCTCTGTGTAGTTTTGGAGCCTGTCCTGGAACTCACTCTGTAGACCAGGCTGGCCTCGAACTCACAGAGATCCACCTGGCTCTGTGTCCCGAGTGCTGGCAGGCACCACCACTGCCCGGTGCCCCAAGTTTTAAAACACCCAACCTGCTGAGCCACACTAGCCACCAAAACATGTTTTTTAGATTTTACAAAATTACAAAATTTTACAAAATTTTTAGATCTTACAAAAGGAAAAACAAATATTGAAAGATTAATATTTGTTAATATAAAAATTTTTGTTAAAAATATTAATTTTGTTTAAAAATTTGTTACAATTTTTGTTGGTTTGTTTTTTGAGACAGGATTTCTTTGTGTATCCCTGACTGTCCTGGAATTCATTCTGAAGACCAGGCTGATCTTGAACTCACAAAGATCAGCCTAATTCTGCCTCCCAAGTACTGGGATTAAAGGGGTGTGCCACAGCCACCTGGCTTGGAAAGCTTTATTTGTTAGAGCACAAACAAAATATCACCACATTTTCCCCTTTTTGTCTAAAATAAAAAAGGTTTTTAACTAATATAAGAAAAACTATATACAATAAGTACAATAACTGTACACAATGTATGCAGGCAATAAATACATCAACATTGTCTAGTCCATTTACAATTGACAAATTCAGGGAAAATACTCTTTATCTACCCTATCTTGGTGAGTCCAAAAGGTTGTATCTATTTCACTTTCTATTCTAACTTGTGTTATCAAAATTACCTTTTAATGTCTCTCAACCTTATATACTTTACACCTCTTTAGTGAATTTCTTTTCTAAATCTGGTAACAAGGAAAACTATAACTATAAAGTCTTCAACTCCATCAGAGACCCAAGAAGGATATAATATTACCTGAGTGTGGTGATATATTGTGTACCCTAATAAACTTGCCTGAGGATCAGAGGACAGAGCCAGCCACTAGATTAGATTTAGAAGTCAGGTGGTGGTGGCATATGCCTTTAATTCCAGCACTTGGGAGGCAGAGCCAGGCAGATATCTGTGAGTTTGAGGCCAGCTTGGTCTACAGAGTGAGATCCAGGATTTGTCTTGAAAAAAAAAAAAACCAAAAAAAGAAAAAAATCCTAGCACTTGGGAGGCAGAGATCTGCCTGGATCTCTGTGAGTTCAAGGCCACCCTGGACTACATGAGATTGACTTAGTCTAGGAGAGACACAGAGCCAAGCAGTGGTGGCACACACTTTTAATCTCAGTACTTGAGATCTCATGCCTTTGCTTGGGAAGCACACAAGCCTTTAATCCTAGGAAGTAATATGGCAGGGCAGAGAAAGGTATATAAGGCGTGAGGAAACAGGAACTCACTCTCTTATAGGCTGAGGATTTCGTAGAGGTAAGAACTAGTGGCTGGCTGCTCTGCTTCTCTGATCTTTCAGCTTTCACCCTGATATCTGGCTCTGGTTTTGTTTTTTTTTTTTATTAAAAGACTATCTAAGATTCGAACAACACCTGAGTAAGCAGGAAGTGCAAGCAAGCAACTTCCAAAAAATGTGAGAAATGACAGAAACAGTTGGCTGTCTTGGACAGTCACCCAAGGTTCCTTTGCAATGTTGGGACATCTATATTTAGTCTACAGGCCTAGAATATCTGACAGACTCATCTGTGAAGCAGGATTGTTCTGAAGGGCTGTCCTACCTTGTCTTGGCAAAGTTTGGCAGTCCTTTCATTGTGTCCTGCTTGTCCCATTTGGACAGCATACTGTCAGCAGTCAAAGCAATGGCATTTTCTTGCCCAGTGGCTAACTTTTGCCACAAAGAAAATAAACTCCATATGGAGTTTCTTCAATGCCCATCATCTTCTCTGAAGTAAATTGGTGCTGCCAGGAGCAGACATGTCTCATTGTCATAAAAAAAGAACCTATGTTATCAAAGCATCTTAAATGCCATATTCTGTAGATCTCTGAAGTGTTTGATGACCACCTGTCTACTTAAAATATATCTGTTTGACCTTGAAAACATACCTGATTACAAGCTTAATTGTAATAGGTGACCAGCTGCTAACCTGCATTTCTTTATTATCCTAAATAGTTTGTAATAATAACTCCCAAGGACTAGCAATTTGCATTACATTGTTAAATGAGATGTGGAAGTACAGTACCTTGAACAAGATTAGAAATGTACATACATTATGTTCTAACAAAAATAATCTCAACTTTTTATCAATATACAAAGATACATATCAATGTAAAATATTTAAAACAAGTAGTTGCTTTTTAAAAGTAGATTCAAGCCGGGTGGCGGTGGCGCAAACCTTTAATCCCAACACTCAGAGGCAGAGCC